AGGAAAACTGAGATGGGGTAAATTAAGTCCCAAGGTCATATCTAGAGTTACAGCACTGTGGGTACCTGATGAAATACGGATTAATGCTGCATGAGCACTGAATAAATAAAACCACTTCTGTTAACCACTCAAACAAGTTTTACAAGTAGTTCTGAACTTTATTCGGCAACTAGACTTCAGACATCTTAATCCCCCCACACTGCTTTGAAACCTAATTATCATAATGTGAACCCGAATGTTAGGTCCCTTTCAAACTGCGAGTGCTACCAAGCAGAAAAGTAATGGGAATTAAGCTAGTGTAACATTAGAAATGTAGAGGCATGGAACTTGAAAGTGGCATTTGTTAAAGCTGAGAGAGCATAATGTAGATATTCAACAACATAAAACACACATTTAAATTGAAAAGGATATTTAAAGCATGTGCGGACACCTATAAAACACAAGTGGACCTAAAATCCTGTAGAACAAACATTTCTAAATCAATTTCTTGCCACCAAGGTCCAACTTCAAAAGGTATTAAACAGTCCTATTCTACCTTAGCAGCACATTTCTAAGTACTCTAAAGCAGACAATTTAAACATTAAAGAAAACCCAATGAGAATTTACAAGACATTACAGACTTTCCCCTATTCGTCACAGTACAGAAGTGTTTGAACTTAAACAGCAGTAAATTATTAATTACAGTGCTTATAAAGTCTTGAGAGCAAGAAAAGATTTTGCTGTAAGTGACAGAAAAGGACTTTGTATCAAAGTTCAAAACCAAGTATAACAGAAATTAAACACCAAGCCATTTAAACAACAGCAAAAAAACACACTTGCCTGGCTGCATTCTTTACTGCTTGTGGAAAACGATTAATAATCCATGACACTTATCAAACTTTCTTTTAAATACGAGCTGAAACACTTTACTCTGAGTGTGCATTAATGTAACAAGCACATAAGAAAAGTCAGACCAGTAAGAATATTTGTATTGTGACAACAAAACCATTGAGGCTGAAAGAAAAATTGTGACTTGATTTTGCCAAACATGAAGATCGAGCTGTTCGTTTTGTCCTGCTCTAGCCTAGTTCACCTGTCATTCAGAGAGCTTTCATTTCCAAGACGCCTAAAACTGACAGCAATCAAAGAAAAACAGATTCCTGGAATATTTTTTCAAGATTTTCATTTAATCCAAAAAGGCCAATGAAATCCTAAAAGTTCATCATCTGCCATGTTAATGCTGAACACAATGTTGTTTCATTTACATTTCTGGTCCTGTTAAAACAAATACACTTGTCTAAACCAGAACATCTGTTTTGGTTATAATACAATGTATCTTTGGCAAGAACTCACAATAGAACTAACATAAATAATCAAGAATATTTATTGAACCTTGTAACAAAAACTGATTTGTAACAAAAAACCTGAAGACTAGATATGACTGTCCCTGGCTCTAGTCCAGTCCTAATCTAAGTCAATAAACATAGCTCTAAAAGGGAAACCACATTGATGAAAAAAAATACAAGTCCTGTAGTTATTTAGGTTGGATGTAGCTATCTGAAAGCATGTTAGTTACAAAAATAGTGAAAAATATTTGCTTTAAATCAAAAACTGTCAAACTGAGATCAGGCAGGTTTTAAAGCCACATGAAAAATCATGTCATATGCCTCATTTCCTACTACTGACTTCACTGATTTGTCTTTTCTTTGGAAAACTTCAGTAAAACTATACATAGTTTGTATTTGCCATTGCTGAGGATTTTTTATTTTCAATTATCTGCTTTTCATTTATTTATTAGCACTAAAAAAGACAAAGAAGTTATGACATAAAACTAACATTTTTGAGAGAAACTGAAATGAAGAAACCAAAATGAAGAAAATTTCTTTGGAATAATTCTTCTCGGCATCTTTTGATACAGATAAAACTGAGATATTTAAAGTGTGAATCCATAAAATTGATTCTTGCCACAGAATGTGTTCTCAGTTAAGACTGTAGTTAACTGTTTGTGAGTTACAAGTTTTATTTGCCAAGGAAGTCAATGTCTGCAGCACCTCTCCGTCAGCCACCTTTCTGAAGGACGGCTTAAGTTGATTGGGATTTTGGTTTTAAAGCACTATAAAACAATCCAGCCTCCTCTGCCAAGCTCCTTTGTATTTGGACTCCTTTAAGGAAAAAGACTGTACTTGCAAATACAATTGGTAATTCTCAAAAACTTGCACACAGCAATGAGCTGAGCTCTGTTTTGCTGGGCAAGGATTTCCACCTTCCCAGAGCTCAGTGCATCACTGTGAGAAGCTGAAGGCTTGGGAAACGGTATCATGTTAGATGCAACTGACTCATTCTGTTACAGTTCAAGTACTGAAGGGTTTTTATTTCATTCTGGGGTTTTTGGGTTTCTTTTCATTTGGTTTTTTTTCTGTGTCATTTTGTGTTTCTGACAGTCCAAACACTAAATTGAGTAGCAAATCCATTTTTCAGTTACAACTGCAATCTGCCAAAGCAGATCTTCTTTAAAAACGAACTGTTCTGACATTATCGAAATTATTTCTCAGTGACTTTAATTGAAACCAATTTACAAAGATCACTTCAGCCAAAAGCATACCACAGGTTTCCAGAGAACTGATGAGAGACCTGCATTCAGCCTGTGTTAAACAAAGCTCTCATATTTTCTCTTATAATGAGAAAACAACATAATCAAGGGAAGACATTGTATGTGGAAACAGAAAAGCTGTTTGTGATCTGAAAGCACGTGCTCCAGGAGAATTTATTATTTAAAAAAAAGAGGATCAGCAGAACATACGCTTCCAATTCATCTTGCATAGTTACCATCAGAAGGCAGAGCAGTTCTGACAATATATACCTACTGTCACCTACTGCTCAAACAGTAACACTGTACTAATTTCTCCTCATTTAGCAAGCATCATTTACATTTTTGAACTGAGACTGATATAAATTCCAGGCATTTCACTGGATTATCAGAGGTGGAGGTTGGATGTCTGGACTCACACTCCTTTCTGCTACTAAAAAATGCCAAGGAAATTGTTTTCTGGAGCTAGAAAACACAGTAGCTACTTTGCGGGATTCTGCAGCATTGCTTGGAAACCCCAACACTGGATAAAGCAATGAGATGTACACAAAACTAGTTTATCAGAAAGGGCAACATGGGAACCCTGATCTTCAAGAAGAAAACTCAGTACAGACTAGAAAAATGTGAAGAGAGACAAGGACTGCAAGTCCAACTTGTTTGTACACTCACAGAGATAAATTCACATACACACACATCAGTATAGAAAGTTCAACAGCACCAAATGTCACCTATAGCATGGAGTACAAAAAAGATAAATCACTTTCCTCTGATTTCTATTTTTATGTACAATACCTCAGTGCTCTACATATAAAGTCTGAACTAGAGACCAGCTCCTCACCATATAAGCATAGCACAAGAAAACCATCTACAATATAAATATGTAAGTAAAGGAAAAATGCTTTTCACTGCTTTGGTTTTCACTTCCAGACAAGTTACACAGTTGCATTTACAGATTTTTGCTACAAATATCATGAGCTTTGGAAAAAGTGAAAGGTTAAAAAACTATCAGTCACTACTAGAAGAAGCAACCAACTTGTTAACCTGACTTCTGCCTTGCACCATTCATGCTAATTCCTATTACACAAGAGCTTTTATCAGTTCCATGGACTTGGTAGCTCAACTACTATTTTGCAAGTTGTGCAATCTCAAACTATAAACAGGGAGAAAATACTGAAGCAAAAAAGGGAAACAGTGAGAAAAACAACCACCACAGTACTGTGTAAATAAGTTTTTCTGTGTAAGCAAGTTATTTCCATTTCGTAGAGACGATCAATAAATAAAATCACTATCACTCTTTCAGACAGTGCTTATAGCAACATCATGGATTTTGAAGCTATATGCAGTGAACAACAGCGAAATTAAACATTTGCTAAAACCCACACAGTATGAAGTGTTTTCCATTCTTTACAGTCATCAAATATACACTTTTCAAGCTGGATTCAGGAAGGAGAATGCCTAATTTTTCAGAAGCTTGAATAGCCTCCTTCCTTTGCAAACAACTAAAATTAGAAAACCTTTATTATGCCTCCTGGAGAGATTTAAGGATCAAACCTTGTGCAAATTTACTTAGAAATCTTATACACAAAGAACAAGTGCAATTAAATTATAAGTTAGTAGGAAAAATACATTTGTTGATCACATCTCTAAGATAATTTCCTAATTTATGAAGAATAGGCTCTATTAAACATATAAATTGTTTGAACAGAGAAAGGCTATACCTTTTTTTAAAATAGAGAAAACTTATTTCGGTATGTTAAGACATTGAAAACTAAATACTGCTGTTAAATGTCAGCACAAAAAAAAAATCCAAGGTAAATCATAAAAAATACTTTGGAAAAATTAAAGGTGTGAATTAAAGGGTAGTTCTGTATGGAGAAAAGAAAGTGATGTAATACAGTTTTCATGCAAATAGACAACAGAATATTTTAGTTCTAATTCAACACTAATGAATAAAATCTGAAGTTTGAAAAGCACAAATATCCTCACTACTCTATGCTAGGTATTTACACAGTATTTATTTGCAGACCATTTAATACCCATGGGATTAGCAAGCATTCCATGCTGTAGTCTGACAACAGAAGCTTTATCATTTGTGTTAAAACCTCATTTATCAAGAAATAAACACAAAATGCCAAGCACATCCTTAGTTGTTAGCGCTGCTGTTCTCGCATACTTTGTTACAATGATAATAGCAATGGAAGGAACCTCAGGAAGAGAAAATAAAATGCTTCAGTGAGTCTCTCTTACTGACTTAGGAGAGCTACTTTCATGCTTCAAAGAGCTACAGTCATTTTGCTTTGGCTAGAATGTTGGGTCAAGCTTGAGTCAAATACAGACAAGGCAACAAAAATAAATACTCAAAAAATTACATTTAAAACTATCTGTTAAGTTAAAATATGCTGAACAGATCAATATCCCAGCAAAGGGATCTTACCAGTAAACAACATCCAGTGGAGCAAAATATTTCTTCATAATTAAGTCAGCAAAGTAAGCTTCTGTTTCTCTGCAGGCCTTGCCATTGCCAATCACAACAGTGCTACAGCTTTGCATGGGGTAAAAAAAATGAACAATTATTCTTAATTACCCTTTTAAACATTTGCATACATAGCTTTCAATCCACAACAATGACCAATGCATCTTATTTCAGATAACACAAGGCCCGAATGCAATGAAAACATATTCCTAGTAGTATCATGTTGTGTTTGACAGTTTTTCAATTTGACAGTTCATGAGATGAGTCAAATTTTTCACTCATCTGTAATGGAATAGTACAGTAGTAATATGTGCAGAAACCCCCAAATCGATAATTCATCTTAATATATGTAATGCTATTTACATTACAAACACTTTCACCTCGTATTTCCCTCATCTGGTATGAGTCATGGAAAAAGAGCAGAAGTGCAAGCAATCAGCATCTTAATTCCTTACTGGGAACATCATAGTACGCACCAGCTTGCAAGGTCATTCTGACTGCCCCTACCACAGCAAATCAGCCATCAAATCACCTTGTTTAAAGCCAGTCTAATGCTTAAAGACAAACTGGACTGTATGCTGTGGCAGTTCAGCATCTGACTCAGTAGACCAGATGTCTGTCGACAATGGATCCCAAAACAGGTGGATACAATAAACTTTTAATCATGCTATCCCTATTTGCAATTCCATCTGGAGATCTACCTGTGCAGGAATTCCTTTGGTTAATAAAACTCATCCAAAAATTAAATGTGGCTTTTGGAACAGGGAATGATTGATGAGTGGTTTGGGGGCTGTGGGGGCTAAACTTATTCCTTAGCTGAAAGTTGACTTCTGTTCCTAAAAATAAATGGATTGACAGAGCTCTCTGGGGATACATTCACAGCATGCAGCCTTACTCATAGCCATTGCTTGATTTTATATGCTTCATACATACAGGTAGTGTAAAAGCATGAACACAGGCTAAAGGGAAAAAAAAGCTCTGAGCTAAATAAAAACAGAGTAATTCCAGTTAAATTAGTTGAATTCTTATTTCACCCAAAAAGCAAGTATTTATAGAATGAAGATTTTAATTTTGTTTGGTAAGATAGAGCAGTAAGTGCAAGTTTCTTTAGCATACTTGTAGTGTAGCAGAAGCTTCTTTATCTTCTCAGCTTCACGAGATCCTTGACCGGAATGCAGGTAAACTACATCGGTATGCAGTATCTGACCTAGAACAATGAAAGGCAAAGCCATCTGATAAAACCTACAAAGGTCCAAAAGCTATATCCTGCAGAACTACTAAAGTTAATTTGATGATTCACAAAGAAAGCTTCTTAATAAGCCATCTTTTCCTTTGATTTTTGTATCCAATTAAAACAAATGTACGGTGGGCAGAGGACAAGAATGCTTTGGCTAAGAAAGTGAAACAAGTTTATACATTTTATAGTTCCTAGGAGACATACCCACATCACAAATACTGAGCATCTAGTCATATTAGCAAATAAAGTGTATTATATTAATAAAGAGAAAACCAGCAATTTACTACCAAAGATTTATTGGTCTAGCGTAGTACATTTTACAGATCCAGTAAAGAGACATGAAAATTAGAAACTCGCAGGACTTGCAGTCCAGGACCTCTAGAACTCCCATGCCAGTTCTTGCCATCATCCCATCTATCACATTTGGAAAGAACTGTATTAACTGGTACTTGACAGCTTATGGTGCAGTGAAAGCTAATGACCACCTACCTTACCTTTATCGTCTTTTTAAGTATCAAGAACACATCTTTTCTTACACCCACCCTGGCTGGATATATTCTTAGACAAAAAAATAAAAACCCAAACAAAACCCAACAACAAAATAAAAGAAAAACAAATCATTTTTGCATGGGCCTAAAGAGGTATGTATGTCCTGATTAGACTAGGGTGAACAGGAAAAGGTCTGTTCCATATCTTAACTAAGAAGTTTTGTAAATAGCATTTCTGTCTTCTCACATTAACACACATACTACTAAACCGAAAGGGCTGATAAAGTGTCCAGATGTCCAAGATACTGCCCATGAAATAAACCAATGTTACAGAAAGCATTTAAATCCAAATTCTTTGTTAAACAATAAAAAACTCAGGAGTTCTCTCTGCTGGCTACTGAGGGGCACATTTATTTGAACCTGCATTCTGGAAGGCAGAAGGCATTTTAAATTCTATTTTAGAGAGGAGCAATAACACCAAAGAAGTCACTGAAATCCAGGTGCCAGAAACTTGTCCTTAAGGTAACTGAAGAAAGGAATTTGCATGACAGGATGGGTGAAAAACATTAATAGCATCACAGAAAAAAAAACCCCAACAAATTCAAACTCATAAAAAAGTAGAGTTTGAAACTATCCTTTACTCTAAATGAATGTATTTTTATCAGTTGTTTCAAAAACATTTGGAATTGAAACTCACTGGTTGGTGAAATAATTGCCAACTTGCAGCCATGCTTGTAGCCAGGATCTACTCCCATCAAAGTACGGCCCCTTACAGGGCTGGTCAGAAGCAACTGCCGGAGATTTCTCCCAAACATCATCACAGACTCTTTCTCTGCATCAGATGTCAACTTGGATCTTAGAAGGATAAAAGCAGAAAGAAACATTTTCCCTTCAATTAGCTTTCAAATGCACTTATTAATTGTTCCAAAGTTGTAAAGCTTTTTCCAGTGATGTTTCAATCCTCTTTAATTAAATATTACACTTTGCATCAAGTAGTTGACACTTTTTTTTTTAAAAAGGATCATCTATATGATCACCTCAATCTTGTTCTAAGAAAGTCAGTCAATATAAAGAGTATAACAGAAAGACTCATAGAAATGTACACATACCAACCAACGTTCAAACATCAACTCAATTTTAAGCAAAGAAGAGCTTCCTATCAAAATTGATAGCTAATTGCAAAGAAGAGTGAAGTTGAGGGTAGCATGGATTGAAATAATCTTAACTTCACAGTACTGGAGAAAAATCACTAGCCAGCAAGAAAAGGATGATGGTTTACACTGAGAGGTACTAGAGAGAAACTGGAAGGGTCTCTCCAATTAATTGATAGCACACCATGACTCATGAGGCATTTAATTTCATCTATGAATTACGTTATTTAACAGTTCTCATAGAAGTGTGTAGACTTCAGCTTTTTCTACAAGGGTATTCTGCTCTCTCAGAACCAACAAGAAAGCTGACGGGGCCATGATGTTCCCTACTCTTCTTTTCCAAGTTATGTTCTTCAATACAAAGAAGTGTTAGTGCAGCGAGGATTGACTTTGATGACTTCAAGCACAAGCATTGCAGAGTGTTATGAGAAACAAATCAGTCTTTTTGAGTGAAGGTGTACAAGATGCATGTCTTCTTTGTCAGATGTGGCCAGCAAGACAATGACTGATAGGGACACGTATTTTTGTCATGGTATGGCATCTTACATAATAAAAGCAAAACTGAAGGAGTAATGAGGACACATATTTATCACCTAACTCATCTTTTTTTTCTTCTGCAGGTACTCATTGCCATTTTCAGCTGCATTACATTGTCAATAAATACAATAATTAGGGAATCAGAAGCAATTCAGTAAAGACTTCATATAACTTCAAGGGTAGCCAGTGCCCTTATTCTCTTTTTCCTTTTACCTAGCACAGAAAAAGGTAATAATATCTGAGTTCATTTTTACAAAGGTAAAAATACTGCATTCCAGTTAACTAACCCTATAAGAATGGGGCAGGGAATATTACTCAAGTAGTTTAGGTAAATCAACATGTAACACAAACAGGCTATAAACAGCTCAAATACAATGCTCATAAGGTTTATTTGACATGATGGAATATGAAGCTGTTCTGAGCAGTTTTCAGAAGCAGAAGAACTTAACAGCCTGATTTGAATTTGCCCAAGATCCAACCAACCAGCTCAGCCCTGACTCATCCCACCCACAGCGGTACTGAAAGAACTAGTAAGTCCTCATCATCTCTCATTTGCAAAGTAATCTAGAGAGAGGTCTAGATTCTCTTTAACACATTACTGATTGAAGATTTCCTAAGGAAGTGTGCAACAGCAAAAGGCTCCCTTATATCCCTGAGCTTTTTCTGTATCATGCATACCAAATTAACACAATTTAAAGCAAGATGGTGAAGGGTATATGTTCATTACAAGACTCCTTAGCAATTCAAATGTGACCCCAGCAAAGAGCAGACACTCTGTATATTGCAACCAAATGTGGGAATGGCCGCACCAGTTGAGGTAAGTTGTCCCTCTATGGCAGTATTCCATCTCCAAGTCTGGCTATAAGCAGCTGCCTGGGGAGTTGATACATCAACACTAATGTATCTGTCCCATAATCTTATCCCAGCCTTCAACTACTTCCAGCTCAGAGTATTTCTGGAGCTTGACATGGTTTGTCTCATTACAAGACTATAATAGAGCTCTTGCTCAACTATCCCATCTCCTACTGAAGCCACACACCACATTTCTTGCATCCACATAGTCTGTTGGCAGGGAGTTCTGCAGGTCCATCACAAACTGTGTAAATAGCTGCCACCTTTTGGTTGGAAACTTATTCTTTTTATTATGTCCCCCTTTGCCTTATATTGGATGACAACAAAAATTTATCCCTAGAAACTGTCTGCCACTTTTGACAAGCCATTCTTTTCTAAGTTCTCTCTTTTCTGAGCTGAACAGTCATAGCATAGTGAATTTTTCTTCACAGAGAAATTATTTTATTTCTCATTCAACTCACTGGGCCTTTTCCAGTTCCAGTGAAATATTTTCCTACTTTCCCCCTACCCTCCCTGAGGTGAGTGGACCAAAACGGCCAATAATATTCCAAATACAGGCCAACTAAATCAATTAATCCTTTGTTTTATCTTTATTCTTTAACTAAGTAATTTTATCTCCTGAGCACTTAATATTTATGTGGAGCTACATTCCACAGCACCAAAGTTTCTCTCCTGTTGCAGCATAGCTCAGAGCTCACAGTTTATAAAAAGATAACTATTTCCCCTTGCAAGCATAATTTTACACTCATCTCCAATGAATTTCATTTACCACTTCATTTCCTGATCCTTCACTCTTGCAGCATCCTCCTTCCATTCTTAAAAAATTAGAGGAAAAATAACCTATATCAGAGAATGAGCTTCTTCCAGGGGGAATCCAGGGACGGAACAATTAAATGTCACTTGTGAGAGACCAGAGAAAACAAAAGCAAATACATAAACCTCACAGCAGTATGGATCTTCTATATACACACATAACAGATTCAGTCACCCATACATAAAAATGAAGGTTAAAAGTGGCTTGTAAATAAGGGAAGGTTGAAGGCCATTGGATCACAGACTTTGTGCAAAGACAGGCCACGTTTCTTCTTTCCATCTATCCCAGAGATACAGGGTCCCAACTGCATACACAGCCAAGTCCTCCCACGCTGCAAATTCCTATCAGTCCACCTGTGAAGGGAGACTTGGGCAGGAATTAAAACTGCCCCTGAACACATGCTATTAGTTATGTATGCCTTATGGAAATGATGTTTAAAATTGGCATGGATATACAGAAACTTTTATAGCAACAGGAAATGTTACTGAAATTGCCAGGTGCGTAGGGGGAATGTCCTTTCTATTACATAATATCCTGTATTTTTAATTTCAAATATAGACCTCTCTTTTATTTCTGTCTCTCACTCAACACCTGTATCAATTACATGATCTACTGTCCCATGTACTGGCCCTTAATTTCAAGTTTGGGATAATCATTTCATCCTCGGGGAAGTGGGGGGGTGGGGGAAATCAAGCTATCTAATATCTTTCTCAGTGCATTACTGGCTTCATCCAAATGGCAAGATGCCCAGCTTTATGTTTTTCCAATTTGTGACAATTCTCACTAATATGGCAGAGAGATATAAGGTAGAGAACAGTCCTCCTCTCTAAACACAAGAGAAATGGTTATTTTGCGAAAACTCAAACCACCAAGGTAACCTCGAAACCCTTCAGTTGCTACTTTATGAGAAAATATCACTCAAGCTCTTCCCTTGAAGTCCATAAAGCATTTGGACTGTATGTCACTAACAGGTATATTGCAATAAAATCAAATAACTTAATCATAACATTGAATATAGATACTAGTAGGTCATAAGATTCAGTTTTTAAATTGAGATTTCAAACTCGCCACTTCCCCACACAGTCTGAGAGGCAACCCTTTCTGTGGAAAAATATCTGCAAACTAGCTTCAGGTGTGAAACAAGATATACAGAGAAATGTTTGCGTCCCTGAAGACAGAGGAGAGAAACCACTCTCTTCGAGAAAGCATGGAAAATTATGAAAGGATTATCCATTAAAAAATATGTCCAGGCCACATCACTTGCATCAAACCCTGATGGAATCATTCCATGCAGTACTGCAACAAGATAAAATGTATTTCAAAGAGCCAAAAGCAACACTGGACATTATTATAGCAGATACAAGAAATTATGATATCTGACAGAATGGAAGAAAGGAAATTAAACAATAAATAAGGTAATCGTCTTGCTGGCAAGTTTCATTTTTCTGATCACTAAAAGCACCAGAAATTTCAATACACTCTTGGAAACTTTCTGTTCCAACATTTAATGATAATAAAAAGAGAAGAAGAACAGTGGGGGGTGGGTTGGAAATATTAATGCTAAAAGGAGGTATTGAATACTTTAGCAGCCCTTTACAAGAGTCCTAAAAAACAGCTCCTGGTGCGTGTGGAAAAAGAATAAAAGCAGGATAAGGGTTAAGTGGTCAGGGACCAGGAATACTACTGTCAGGTGCTTTGCATTCCTCTCTATAGGAGATGTTTCAGTTTTTCCTAACCGAACACCACCAATCATGCAAAATGATTACAAGGAGTAAAACATAAGCAGACATCCACTCAGGAACAGGCAGCAAACTTGGTATTCTTTGCATTTATTATTTTTGAGCTGCATCTAGTAAGTAGTGGGGATGGAAGCTTCTTTTTTCTTTTGATGAGGAGAACAGAAAACCTTCAGCAACCTACTGCTGCAGCAGCCCTCAAAGTGCTACACACAGCACAGGCCACAACAGTCCTGCAGTACAAGCCACAAAACAAAAACACAATAAAAAGGCTTGAAACACCCTTATGCCTCAGTTTTCCTAGTTACCTTTAAAACCAAACCCCACTAAAAAGTAAATATCTTTTCCTTATTTTAAGAGTCTGATTGTAGAGATGGCTAGGAATGACAACTACTTTCACATCCGCATGACAAGAGCCAACATTTGGACTTCTCATGAGATGTTCATCATTTTGGCCAACGATAGCCACAGTGCCTCTCCTAGAGTATCTATGCGTATTGTGGTCACAAGTGGGCTCAGCATTTTCAGAAACCTGAGAAATTCTTGGTAGCAAAAAAACAGGCTCATTAATCAAAAGAGGTAAAGCAATACTGCTTGCAAAGCAATGAGCACACAACATACTGCAGTGAAGAAATCTGAAAGCCATTAGAAATAACTGCCGTTAAAATCTTGAGCTGACAGTTCTTTTCAGAAGGGTAGAACATAGAACATTCAGGCAATGATATTCATGAAAGGAAGTGTCAGGAAAACAACCCCAATTTGAACAGAAACTTAAGAGCACAGCAGAAGTAGATTTCATATTGTGATGGCTGATTTTAGGTACTGAATAGCCAACATGTGCCATTTTCACACAAGTCATTTCAACATTTCTGGTCCAAGAAACAGGGTCTCTTTGATAAACTCCATTTTGAACTACCTCAAAACATTTAGGTCACATATCAGATAGCCTTGCTAGAATGAAATATGTTATGCTTTGAGGAGCTTCTCTTGCATTGAGGAGAAGAATCACACCATCAGTACTGTTAGCCATTAGAGGACAACACTAGACTTTGACATATTAAATAATTTCAATTATGTGGTAAACTCCAATACAACACCACAAAATACTCTATTTAATTCATGTTACTTCCATACTAAGTTTTAAATTTCTTTTAAATTGAGAACAATATTAGAGATCTTAACAAGCTGCACTTTGTCTGATGACATCATTACTACAGTATCACCAGAAACTGACTTCTTCAGAGACATTGTAATACACACAAAATGGTATCAGACTGGCACTATGACTAATTCATTTGCCACAAAGTGCAGCTGGCAAACATGAGAGACCACAACTGCAACAATACTTTGCTGACTTCTTTTGGACAGGTAAATGAGAGGGAATCACAACAATGCCACTGACAGTGCTACTGCTGTGACATGAAGAGATCCTGGGAAAAATTCAGTGACATCATGGTTTATGCTAATACAAGAATAAAGATTAAACTATAATGGTAATGTAGGTCTAAACTGTACATACATTAGTTAACATGTACAACAACGTGTGAAGTGTCTTGGCAGAAAGATCATTTCTCTACTGTAGTGGATAGAGTCACAAATCTACAGAAACAAGACTACATTGTTCATTTCTTCTGTAAGCAGAGAGGATTAAAAACATGCTGGTATTTTCAGATAGATAAAAGATATTTTAGGAAAATGTTGGGGAGTGAATTGTTAAGAAACTAGTAATATGAAAATGCAGATTTATTTTGGGCTTACCTGAATTCTCTACAGAGAAGAGGACATATAAGGCGTTTATATGCATCCTCTACTGAATTCCGTAGTATTCTCATAAATTCTGGTCTTAAAAATTGCTTTGGTTTCCATCTGCAAAAGATTAGAAGAAGAAAGATAAAATAATACTTTAAGAACATACGCAAACACGTAGATAAAATAAGGAACTTTTTAACAAGTCTTCTACATTGAGTCCTATAAACTGCAGAACTACTACAATAACTAGGCAATGAAGTCATAGATTCAAATTTGAATGGAATGAGAAGTTGCTCATGGTTCTATTATCAGACAAGGGACAGGTCTATCTTTTTTTGTGTGTGTTAGGTATTAGAATGCAATAATATTTTATTTTTTAAAGAAAGCCCAAAACCATTTCTCTTCAATATGAGATGTGAAAGCTTATTACAACTGAACAAAGAACTTGCTTCCATATTACCATTAGGGTTGAATTATTTGCTATTCCTCAATACATTAAAATATGACCAAACACCATCTGTGAGTGTCACTACAGAGCTACTGATATAAGACAACTATGCCCAGACAGAAATTCAAGAGCTAAACTAATGTCAATTATTGAAATCCAATACAGATTTCACTTGGAATGCTTTGAGTATCTGTATTCAAACTCTAAACAAAATCTGATCAATTTTGCAGGAGTCATTAAACCACAAAAGACAAACAATTTGCAAATTATTTTTCTCTTCTACCTGTTGCTGATAGATTTGAAGCATAAATAATATTACAGGAAAAGGGAAAACTGAATAAAAACCCCAAGACTGTTTCCCAACTTATTCTAAGCCAAACTCTGAAGCATTCCCATTTCGAGGGAGAGTGTGCACTGGACATAACTGTAATTACAATTGCTTAAAATTCTGCTGCAAAATACACTTCAGTTTCAAAGGCTTCTCAGATATTTAAACAATTGATCTTTTTGTTGTGGGCAATGTTGCATGAAGGAGGGGGGAAGGGGGATGTGGGTTGGGGGTGTGTGTGTGTGTGTGAGTCCTTGAACAAGCAGAACTCACTGAGATTGCCCACACAATGAGAACAGAGCGAGACTGAGGAGAAGCAACCAGATATATTATACAGAAACAGAAATAACTACTTCTAACATTTTATATTAAAGTGCACCAGTTTATTATTACTTTTAAAAATACTGATAACATGCAATTTTCTTCATTTATTTTATTAACATGCCTGGGTCCCAAACTTTGAAGTGAGATACATACATGGTTTTTAATATATGTCTGGGTAAGTTGTTTGTTTGGTTTGGTTTTTTAAATGCAACATGATAGAATTATGGTAATTTCCTAATGTGTCCAGGTGCAGGTCCAGGCAAAAACAGAACTGAATTTTACTTTTGACATCAGTTACTTGCAGTCTCTCAGAAATACTGAGAATCCTAAACTGCTTCTACCCAGACAGCTTTTCAGTTGCTTAAGGGGATCTGCAATTTCCTGAAACAGCTTTTCCAAGTGTCTGTGCATATGATAGCTGAGAAATGTGTGATCGAGTCAACACTGCATTAATGCAGACAGACATGAGAGCAGAATTAAGCTTACCATTTAGTTTTACAACATTCAGGGCTGTGAGTGCTTAGCCACATGACCTCATCACTTTGCTAACAGTTTTTGCAAATAGTTGTATTATACTTATTTGTAACTAGAGACTCTTTCCATACCTATATAAAACTGGCAAAGGCTTTAAAACCCCCTTATAGCCATCACATTCTATAAACATGAAGTTTTTACAGGTGGCAAGTATGACTACAATCCCCCACAAAGTATCCTCAGAACAAATAAGAATGAATTTGGAAACCAGGCAGCTGTTTCCCCCTCCCTTCCATCCATTAAAGTCAGTTAACAAACCCTTCCTCTGTAAATAGCTTATCACAGCAGATATCTTTATTATCTGCCTATATATAAGTAAAAATTATTTAGGCAAGATTGTTACAAATTGATGCAAGTGCAAAAGCATCCTAACAGTAAGTTCAATGATAGCAAATACTGCATTTTAATCATTCCAATACTTCATGAGAGAAGAGAAAAATCTACTTTGCTGCAAAAAAACAACCCCAAGAAAAATCACGTGTGCATATTTTCAAAGATCACCACAGCCTAGTTAAGCCTCCCTCTAAGAATGGATTTTTCTTGATTATTTAATTAAGATCTGACTTCTGAAGCCCTATTTAGCAAAGCTGCGTATAAATAATATCATCTTACTCTGCACGTCAACTCTCCACATACGAGTGCTCATAACCAGGACCACAATAAGCATAGAAGTATTAGACTAGTGATACACCACAGAGGGTGAAACATCAACATCAACAGAATTAACACAGCCCATGTTAAGAACCACTAGTATTAACTACCAACTGCTGCAGGAAGAATACAGCTAGGCTTTTAGACCTGAAGGACAAATAGCAGAGGTTTGTGTCCCTTCAAGACTGTACAAAACATGTACCAAGTTAGACACCACAGCCGAAGCAAGCCTTCAAGGCCTGTACCATAGACTTTACACAGGGTCTGAGAATTTTGACTGGAAACTGATAAAATATTATCAAACATCGAACTTCATTTGTCAAGACTGCACTCCTACTTTGGAACAAACACTCACCCCTTCCCAAGGAACAACTCCCATGTTGTCTTTACACTCACAGCCAGCTAAGCAGTCCCTCTCAGGCTGTTTCACATTGACCGTTTTTCTGTCTTCCACTTTAGAACCAAGTCTCTGGGACCAGTAGAGGTCTAGTGTTAATGGAGCTAGGTTCACTGTCAAACCACAGAGACGCTATTTTCTGGGGAAAAATACAACCCACAGAACCAGGCTATTCCTGACTTCTCTGCACATCTATTCTGCAAAGAGATGCAGATAAAGATTCTGAACTTTCAAAAAACCCACAATATTCTTAGATAGTACCTACCTGGAGCTCAACACAGTAATGAACTCTAGTCTTCCAAACCCACTTTTCTATCTTAGGAGCATCTAATACTATAAGATTTCTCTCTGAAGAACACAAAAGTCAGAATATTTGCTACTAATTCAATAGGCAGTAGGTGATAATGTTTTGTGGCTAGATACTGACCAAACTTTGTAGCAAGGTAGCATTTCTGGCTCTGCAACTGATTTTGTGTGTAATCTTCAGCAAATTAGTTAATACTTCTGTGAAGTTTTGAAACCATTTCTTCAAACATAAGTTATTAGCCTTCTGCTCGCAAGTAAAATAATGCAAATTTCACTCTTGGACAGTAATTTCATGGGTTGCAGGGCAGAATACACATTTACTATTTGTCAGTTTGATAACACAGTTGTCAGTCTAACAAGGAAAATCAGAATCTGTCCTAGATGTTAATGCACCAAGATTTACTAAAATAGTTCTTTTGGAAGGTTTTTGGTGATGAAAAAGTTGTCCTTAAATAGCAAAAAGCCATAAGCATATATAGCCTCATGAATGCTAAGTATTAATAAGTAGTTTCACTTCAAAGGTCAATATTCTTTTTATCTCAGGATGAGTCACAAAAGTGTAATCAACCAAAAATATCTGAATTTACATCCCACTTTTATTTGTGTAGCAGTGGCAAGCTGTTCCATTATCTGTGGCTCACAGGGCTTCCAAATTCTGTCATAGATGCAGTAAAAGCAAGACTGACAGAATGTTCTGCCTACAGAATATACATCCTGAGGGGATCACAGAAATTCTGCTACAGGTACTAAAACTAGAATGAGACAGGTGTGTTTATGAATCCTGATACATTCCTGGGGAAAAAAACCCCAAAGTTATTTACTCTTAGTCTTAGTTCATATTATGATATCTGTCCAAACAATATTTTAATTCTTTCAGAGCCCTAGTATTCCCTTTCAGAGGGAAATAGCCCTATTAAATTTCTACACTGAAACAGAACATCTCTACCACATCTATTTCTTGGATTTATTGTGAAAAAGAAATACATGCTAAAGCAGTATCACAGCATTCTATTTTATACATTAAAAAGTGTTTCTTCCTATTCTTTTGCCTCCTTTTCATTATTCAATTTTAGGATGCAAAGGTAGGAGTTTCTAAGACATCCCCAGAACAATGCCCAGTACCTTAAACCATTGAGAAAGAGAAACCTGCCTTTTATACATGCAAGGAAGATGCACAGTTTGGATCACCATATTCTCCAACAGAGGACATCAAAGTACAGTTTCCAAGAAAAAGACTGACAGATATTTCACAAAACAACATATATTTAACCTGAACTTTTGCATAAAACCTCAAAATCATACAATATTAAACATCTCGCTACAGGTTTTAAAAAAAGGCAACTTGTAAGAGCAAATCAGTAAGAAATAAAAGAACCACCCAATGCTAAGAGCCCAGTTTTCTAACTTAACCAGCAATCAAAATGCAAGAGCCTGTTCACACAGTATGTGAGAATTATGCATTGAAGACAGTCATGTTTAGGTTTGTCTGTTAAATCCATTAAGCTTCTTTTAAACATGTGATTTCTTACATTTGTGAAACTTAGAGTTATGTACTTCAGCGATCTAAAATCCAAGATAACCCTATTTAATCATTGCAATGGTGCACATGAACTTAATTTTACAAGTCAGTAACATATTCTATTGGATTCTGCAAAGTCCTTTAAGTAAAGGCTACTGGATGTGATACATGCTACAATTTGAAAATATATTCACATTTCATCAGCCTTTGCATATTTTTAAAGAAATTCAATTGCTTGAAGAATGGTGCCAGAACTCACAAATATAGCCCAAGGCATGATCTTTTCAGCATAATGTTACAGCAGTTGGAAATACAGAATACGAATTATCCACTTGCTAATTTCATCTAATCTAATAAATATTTGTTTAAATTGTTCTCTTAATGTAATGAGACATATGAGGTACACTGCAGTATGCAGCTGTCTATAGAAAAAAAAAGAGAATTCTGTAAGAATATGTATCCATGCAGACCTTTCATTGACACACCACCAACAGAATTCATTCTTCACCCCGTCAGGAATGTTGACCTTCACTGTCAGGATCTTCAGATTTTCCCCTCGGTTAATGGCCAGAATCTGAGTGCAAACATAAATGGCAGAGACAGATGACACACAAAATATCCAAAAGATAAACTTATCAACATTTGTGTACGCACTTGCTTGACATTCTGTAGCAAATCATGATGGTGGTACAGTAAATCAGTTCACAAAGTACTAGCATGTACAGATAACAACTACAATTTAAACACAGATTAAATCATGCCATGGCATAACAAATCTTATATTTTTCCTGGAGTCTGAAATATCAAGATCCAGTTTATCTTAAACACCATTATAATACAAGTCAGCATGAATTTAGTTAGTGGAATAATCCTATTTAAGAACCCAAATTAAAACTCTAGAAATTAATAGAAAAGTTATTCCAATCAGAAATAGAGATCAGAAAGGAAAAAAGTTAGCCCTATGCTTCAGATTTCATTTTTCTTCCCACTTTAAAATTAATTATGAATCAGAACTTAATTTGAGAGAGGATGAATTTATTCATGCCTAGTTCATAAACAGCAGAAAAGATTGTAGATACACTCTTTACATTAGCACTCCAGCCTTAAAACACATGCATGTATTTCTGACAGTCTTGTGCAGATAACTGCATAGGCATGATCTAAAGCTAAATTGAGCTGCACATGTGCTACCTGCATACAGACTTCGATTTTATATGCAATCTATGACTCTACAGTTAAAACCAGGATGGCAATCCAAGTGGTGAATCCTGGAAGATACTGGTGGGTATCTACTTGTCTAATCTCACTATGAAGATGCTGAATGTTCACCTTAACATAAAGAAAACACACTGACCAACAGATTTTAGAAACAGTAATAGTCAGAAGCAGCTACAAATAAAAGCCACATCATTAGGTTTCATCTTTCCTTCCAAACTATTTTAAAGGAGAAAAAGGAAAAAAGGAGAAAAAAAAAAAAAGAAACCTGCTTGAAGTTGACATTCCTGTATGGCTACACATGTTGCTGTATATAGCAGGCCCTGAGCACTGTCACAACAGAGCATTCTGTGTCAATCATGAACTTTAATTCAATCACTAGCTAACTCAGACATGTCACATATGTTAAATACAATGGTTTAAAATGACTCCAGGACATAGTACCAATTTGTATTCCTCAGCCTTACTGCTCCTGTGACATACCAGGCCTGACATATCATTGAACAACAAAGCTAATAATAAAGATTGCATGTGAAATATTATAGCATCTGGTACCTTGACTGCCAAAGCAAATGTTTTCATGTAGAAATTAGAAAGACACATTTTAACAAATCAAATGCATTCACGTTTATTCAGATTTTATTTTTTAAAAAAAGTGAGAAAGTTAAATGTCAAGTTAAAATGAAATCAAAATGATGCTCACAACAGAGAATGTATCTGATAGAATTATAATGTCATCATTCAGCATGCTGTTAGCAGGGTCAATATTTGCATCACATTTTGTTTCCTGGCACTCCATCTGCAGAATGTGTCAGTCACCTGAACTTAAACCAGCTGTTAATGCAGTTGCTAATATTATTTACATTTTTATTCTTAAACAATCTGCCTATCCTGTTCTAAGTGACGCATTCAGAGAAGAATTATCATCCAATAAATGCTCAGTTAAGACAGGAATTACTCGACTTCTCTGCTAATATAATAAAGGTCTTTTGTTTCTCTTGGGTTTTAAGTAATAGGTAAAAATCTGGCTATTCTAGACACAATGCAGTCTTCACTTCTGGAAAAAGACTGGGTTTTTTTGACACTGGAACATATCCAGGGCAAGGGCTGTTAAAAAACAACATACATTTGTCAGAGAAAGCAAGAACAACAATTCGATCTAGTCACAAGATTCATCGAGCCTTATTCTGTTTATCATAAAAGTACAACATCCTTCATTTTGCACAGTTCTCCTCTGCAGATTTACTTTGACTCGCTGAATAAGTTTTATATACTTTGCCAAGGATTTAATTTCCAATTCCTTTTTAAGTATGAGATTGAAAATAGAGCACTTGCCTCAAACATTACACTTTATTCATGAATTCTTTTCCTCCCACCAATTCAGCCATCTCCAAATAGAGGAAAGCTACCCCAAGGCGTACACAAACACCGAACTGTTTACAATTAGTCAAAAATTCAAATAAACTCTTGAAAGATTTTTTTCCTTAGTTATGACAGTGTTGGTATAGCTACTCAACTACATCCTAAGAGAGTCCAGTAAGGTTGTCCTTGCTGCCAAAGGAAGAAACTGTGGCTGAACCTCTCAAGAGCAAAATGTTCCAGCTGGAAACACCCACAGGTATCTGACCATGTTAATCTGGAGTTGGGCTTTTAAAACAACAAAGTTCTTTTGTTCATTTCAGTTTCAGTATTTTAACTTTTTCAAACAACCTAACTCCACACCAGTCCTGATTATTTCATGGCACGTCTCAACAAACAAAATGACAGTGGCACATAAAGTGACCCAGACCTATTGCACATGCAGTGAGAGCTACAGAACAGCAGAACTGAGCTGCAGTTTACTGCACAACAGTCTCACTCCCAGCAACACACTCTGCAAGGCACGTTCACAGCTACAAATGCTTTGGTTATAAAGGCACAGACTAGTCTCTTTTAGGCAAAATGCTAAGCTACTGTCCAGGACCTTTACTCATATGTAAGGCAGAGTACAGTTAGGGCTGTAGCCAGATCTAAGATGACTAGCGCTTTCACATTTGGGTGATGGTAAGTTTCAGTGCTGTATTTAATGAAATCCTATATTTGCAACCCCGCAAAGAAATGATTTAAAGCTGACTTTTGCCTCTAGCTAAATGCACTGAGAAAACTTGTCTGTGCACAGTCACAAACGGAACAGAGGAGGTCTTCAACACAGTGAATTTTTCAAGTGTTCTTCAAACACAGCTATTTAACTTGCAGTTCTGAGGGATTAGTAAATTATATAAATCACTCTGAATTTCAGGCTTTCCTATATCTTTTTTGGGTATAAGCTTCTTTTAATAATCCTGAAGCAAATCAGAGAATTTCTTCACTTGAAGACACCTTCACTTCTTCCAAAGCATAATAAAGAAGACATTTTACCAACTTCTTAAATGCAGAAAAGACTTATTTCTTCAAAGGCTTAAGTGAAGGAGAAACTAAAGATGTCTAGGTATTAAAAAGGGTGGTTACAACCCAAGAAAATCAAAGAAATAAAAGAAATGGCAATTTGCCTCAGTAGGGGAGTAAGGTCAGGTAATAGAGAAATTGAAGGTGATGAGAAAGACTTGGGAAAGGACAATACAGAGTTTAAGCTTCATGAAGAAATGGCAGATAAAGAACAAAAATTCTTTTCTTATTTCATCATTAAAATACAAAAGGGACCAAAGACAAACTGAAAAACTAGCAAAGAAACAAAACCATGAGAAGCTACAGTATTTTTTAAAACAGGGAACTCTGCAAATTTTACATCATAAATGATAGCAAAATGCATTTTTAACTCAACTAGTACAAAAGAGCTGTCATCATACCCTGAGCCTCAAACTTTGATTCACAATACAAAAATATTCAATGTGTTAGAATAGTCAGCAGCAGTAATATACAAATGAAAGACAACACTTAAGTGTGCAAAAACACCCTGTGATTACAAGACTACCAGCTGCAAAATCAGCAGTTATTACTTCAGAGCCAGAGCAGGTAAAGAAAGGCATTAAGAGTAACAACAGACAACAGGAAGAATAAAATAAACCAGATCGAGTTAAGATTAACACCAAACAAACTAAAGGACACACCCTGAATAAGGAGCAGTGCAGCCACATGGTCCAAAGTGCTAACCTGATTTGGAAATCTGGTTTCTAGCCCTGGCTCTAGGTAAGCAACCTCAAGTGAAACAGAAAACAAAAAGGATGCTCCGGACAAGAAGTAAAACATACCACCATCCTAGGAAATACTTGTTCACCCTATGCCTATTGCATATCTCAGTATTCACCAATGTCAGAGAAGGAAAAAACAAAGCCTTTGATAATCCAAGTATTCCTTCAACAGTAAAGCACACAAAAAATCCATACATCAAACACTTAATCTGCTGATGAATCTACAAATCTTTGTGAATATCACTACAGTAGTCAATAGATTGCTCTATCAACTTTTTCAGGTCCTCTAGAAGCAAGTTTTCACCAAATAATTACCAATATAAATACAGCAAATGTTCACGCATATTACAAAGAGGACTGTAGGTACCTCATCAAACATCTACAGAAAACCTGTCTGTTAAAATCATTTGTAGCTATTTAGTCTTTTACTTGATACCACTCATACTGGGGTGTGGAAATTGTTTGAACAATTATCCCATCCATGTTGTGAAGCATTTTTTGTCATAAATTAATGTCAAGAAAGGCAATAAAATCCTTTATCGTTGAAAACATCACTGGTTTAAAATAGAAAGCACAAAAATGAGAGCATATAATAGCCTTCTAAAGGAAAAGGACATTTCTAGTTAGAAGCAGCTAAGAGGACATTTTGTATGGTAATATGGTTTGTTTTGGTTTAGGGATTTTCTTTTGGGTTTTTTTTTTGTTTGTCTTTGCTTTGTTCTGTGGGGTTTTGGTGCTGGTTTTTTAGCTGTTGTTGGTTTTTGTTTTGGGGTTTTTTGTTTGATTGGGGTTTTTTTAAGCCAGGTAACTGTGACCAAAACAAGAGACAATTCACTTGGTGATTAGTTATGAATCAGCCCAAAAGACTTGATGGTTGCATTGAGAGCACCACACTTTAGCTTCTGAATTTTAGCAATGGGGACAGCTCAACTATGACTCGATAGTCATCAGCTTCTTATCAGCTACCAAGTTGGCTTCAGCTCTCATTTCTTTGTCTACTTATATAAGTCTAGGCTTGGAGCTTAGGATAACCAAAGATGCTTCACAAAAGGGAATAGTGATGACTTGCAAAACCAATGTTTGGGGTAGTGCTTGGGATGTTCACCTGAGCTGCTTTTATAGGTCACCTTCAATTTCATTTTTCCTCCCTGATACTTCCCACCAGTTTCACCTGTCAGTGTCAAATGGCTCAGAGCACTCAGACTCAGTGCTGCAGCAAACATACAAAGAATAAGTTTATCCATGTTTGCTTCAAATTCTTACACTACAACAAAGCAGGTTCCACTACTATGTCACTTTTACCCGGTCTCACTCCTACAGGACATAAATAATTGCTTAGCCTTTATCCCCCTTCCTGATCACTATGCCTTTTTCACCAGGGTAGGGGGGGGGCATGACAATGGACAAAAATAAATCATACCAGTATTGAAATATCTGATAAACAAATATTTATAATGATTTATGCAATAAAAATTAATTACAACAGTGGGCATACTGAATAGCTGCCCTCTGCTCAGTTTCTTAAAACACAGATTAACATTTTAGTCCTGCATTAAAAGAATTTGAAAGCCTCTATTACCTTGGATAACTGTAAGGCAAAAGAAAGTATCTTTAGAACTAGTTTTAAGCAACAAAATTCAGAAGCAAAGCCACATTTAACACAGTTTAAATTCTAAGAAAAAAAATACAAATTTGTAGTTGTACCTGATGATGCTGAATGCTCTTTATATTACAAGAAAACTCATGGTACAGTTGAAACTTATCAATATCTTTTTCATTTCCACTTCTGGCTGACACTTTTGTCAAGGTTGACTGGATAGAAATGTACCGTTGTTGACATCTGAATGGAAGAAGCAAATATTAATAAGGTATTTTAGCATGAAACTTGCAACAAGTCATTACCACATATATTAAATCAAAGTGATGTTTGGAGTCTGCTCAGTTACAAGTTACGTTGACTCTAATTACCTGCAGACACACTGACTGGAACATACCAAGAGAAGAGACTCAAGCAGACCTCAGAAAAAGATGATTGCAGCCCTTCTGAAGGGAATGGATACTCAAAAGCCACAACCTGCACTTCAGTTTGGTCAGTTATCAGTTCAACTTCACACAACATATTTTGCCAAGTTACAAACAAAATTATAGTAGTTATCTATCTTATAGAAACACATCACTCTCGAATCTATTCAGCCTCCAAATTAATTTCTTGCTTTGAGCACTTAATACCCACAAAAGTTTTCATTATTTTTAGAAGTAACATAGATCCCAAATAGATAACTTCCTGAATGCTCCTCATGATTATCATACTTCTAACATAGTTTGAATCAACAGGACTCATCTGTAAAGCACTGTGTATCCAGCTGAGGAACTTCCAGAGGTCAATGGAATGCAAGTGCTGGACTGGTAGTGACAACACATCTTTTACGAATGAAATTATCATACTGATGATTCAAAACAATGCTGCATGCTCCTAGAGCAGCACCTGCTCTTTGGTAAGTCTTCTCTGTCCCAGATGGCATACAGCAGAGAAAATAAACCAAGTGACACTGTCACACCAGCATCCTGGATGTGACAACACTGAAGTAAGAAAATTCAAATTCAGGTAACACAATTAAAGGATCAGTAACTCCTGCTTCAAAAACAGTCATATTTGTATGCCTTGTTGATCACCAGTGCCAAAATGGACCATCCCTGCATGCTAATCACACTGCCTGGTTTCAAGCAGTAAATACTGGAGCAATAGCTTAAGCACCAAACACCTCTGAAAAGTTATAGCTTGAAGGAAGCACAAGGAGAGAAAACTCTCTTCCAGGTCACTAACTGTAAGGGAGATGAGCTATATATGGACCACAGCCACAGAGAATTTTTCAGTCTCCAGGAGTCTCAGCATTATGCCATACTCATAGCCAGATGGGCAAAAGGGTGAATGATTGTACCTCCAGTACAAGTGAAGGAATGGACCTAAATCAATCTCACAGTAACACAGTTTTCACAACATTAAAAAATGTTAGGTATCTGCATGCTGGGAGACTGAATCCTACCACATAACAAGGAAAGTTTAGATTCTAAGAGTCAAACTTACAATTTCCTGACAAAGTCCAGCGTATCTTTATCTTTAGCAAAGATGTCAGCTAAAATATGCTGTACTCCAGCCTCTACTTCCTTGACATTTTCAAGCCCTGAGATGAAAAAACAGTTAATAACTATAGAAAAAACAATCTGAAAAATTACTTTACACAATTGCACAAGCACTAAGAAAATACATACAAGCTGAAAGAAAATTGATTAAAGATATCCAATTGACTTGCAGAGGTTTCAATGAACAACCCTAATTAACTAATTTTTTTACCAACTAAACTTCCCATCCAAAACATCTGAAATTATTATATGTTTAATGAGCCTAAAGTGATCAATGCTATATCATAAGTCAAAACAACAATGAGAGAAAAATATTTTGACTTTGATGCAAATAGATCCTGACATTCAATATGTAAATTAATTATTTACAATAGTAAAATTGGATATTCAAGTATAATTTTTGAAGTTTTAATAAAATGAGTAATTGCAGCAGAAGCTTACATATTTTGTTACAAATATGGAATATGCTTAAAACTCTTTGCAGGCAATCCTGTCTTTGTGTAATAGTTTTATATTTCCACTGGTTTACAGCAGGAGTTTGCACAACGACACTTGAGGTTGGGGTACTGACAACCTCTTCCAGGAAATGCTGAAGTTGTAACATATCTCCAAAGATCGAGAGTTAAAAATGTCTTAATATCTCTGGAGAGATAACAGAATCGTTCAGATAACTTCCAACACACAACTCTACTTCACAAGGCCAGAAGTGGCACATAATCCTTGGCAGTGAATGAATTGGACCAGAACCAGATGATAATGAAATAAAATTGACATCTTGTATTTTAATGCAATATATCTAACCCTGTTTCCAGCAACAGTCAGTAACAAATGCTGCAGTGCAAAACACAAGAATTCTAGAGTTGGCAGATGCATTATCAACTGTCTCCTTCAACACCTACTATCTTTCATTCTGCTGTCCGATGAACTACCAATGTCTTGAAAGAGCTTTATTAACACCACTTGAAGAAATTGCATAGGCCTAACTATTCATTATATTGAATCCAGAACCCTCTGACTGGGCTGTAATGTTACATGTTAGAAAACATTAATTTCTCCCTTTTTTAAGATGAGGAAGCTAAACTTAACTACCAGAAAGAGGAAAAAAAAGTGAGAAAAAAGAATAGGTTATTAAATTCCTGAACTTACGACAAGTTGTGAAAATTGGATCATTACATCTATGAGTTAGTGTTTCTTATGGGAAAAGGAATGTCATGTCAGAACACAGAGCTAAGGGAATTTTAAATATAATTGAGATATTCCAAGTACCAGAAGTGTACACAGCAACATTATTTTAATTCTAGGAGGGAATTTGAATGAGATAGCATTGGCCAAAACCAGTCAGGATTAAAGAAATTACCAAAAAGTTCCCATTCAACAAGCACCACTCACATGGGTATTTTACTGTGTCCACCAGCACATGCTTGTGGAACTGGAGAAGTATTTGACCATGCATACAACTAAAAGGAAAAACAAAGTTTTCTGGTGAGCCTGATTCCCTAACTTTCCAACGTCTGGCTTTGAAACACAAACTGCTGTTTTTATTTCAGTTTATTTTTAGTATAAACTGAAAAACACTGAGAATTTAAAAGAACCAAATATTAAGATTTGATGAAAACTTTTCTGTACTGCAAATGGCTTGTTTCTTTTAAAAAACTCACTCTGATCTCAAGCTGTATATAGGCTGTCAAATTGACTTCCAAGCTGATAAAAGTGACCCAGTTCACAGATGGATATAATTTCTGATGCGCCTTTCAAATGAAAACCATTATATAAACCTGAGGAGCCTTATTTTTAGCACAAAATTGAAAATAGGTGTACTGATTTTCAAAAACTAATGTTTATGGTGCAACAAACAGCAGTTCCTTCTGAATGCACCCTAAATAATTCATTTGACCTTTCACCATGAAGGTTTTCTTTTTGGCTCTTTAGACTCTGCCAGAATAGTCAGATATATCGCTGCAACCTACTGCTGAATGAAGCAATGGCATATTCTAAAATGCATTAATTAAGCAACCAGATATTTTGTAACTGATTTTCAGTGTAAAATCAGCAGAGTTTTAAAAGCAATATTTAAATAAAATAAAAGTGGTAAGAGTCAGCCTTGATAAGGAGGTTCAGTACCTTTATGTTGAAATGCAAAAAGTATGTGTTGGGGCAGAGAAGAATAGAAGTGAAGTACATCTCTGTTTTAACATACGGAAGACTGTAGCAACCTCTGCATTTTACTGTCAGAGATTGCCCCCTACAGATTCACCCATAACTGCATTCACAAAGACACACAGTTCTGCAGTCTGTAGGTGAAGATCATGTTGTTCAAAGTTCTTGCTCAAATTTCAGAGACTGCATCTTCTCCAATCCCTAATGTCATTCAGTAAAAAAACCTCTCCTGCTTACTCCCAATCACCAAGGCCAGTTTTGATGAAGACAAGCTTTACAGGGTGACATTTCTTTCAGTACAGGACATGAGCATAAACCTCTTGTACAATCAGCACTGAATCTTCAGTAAACAATTTTAATAGAATCATGGAGAGGTCTCAGGTGTGTGGTAAGGTTCCCTCTCTCTTAGATGTCAACTATAAGGTCTCCTGACTTCTGTCTCTTGTATACCATAACTATTACTATTTACAATACAAAAGACAGGAAAGGTTGGAGAGTCATGGCATTAAATGTAAACTCTTACTGCATGTTGCCTCAAGTAATGTTGAATTTAAAATAGTTGCCTAACTTCCAGCAACATCAGAACAATTACAGTAATTTCCCTTTCAAAATATTTTCAGACATTTAGGACGTTACTGCTCATAGAAGCAAAGCACTTACCTTTGGTATTGGGTCTAATGTAAGAAAAGAGATTGAGTTCCATGGGATTCTGCAGAAGGGAGAGAGCAGCAGGTTCTAATCCCAGCTGCCTGGCCCTCTGGGCTTTGGTGCCTTTACTCCCTGTTTTATAAGGTGTAGACTTAAACAAAAAAAAACAAACAACCCACGGTTATTACAAAGCAAGGAAATATTTCAGTCATGGTATGTACTTGACATTATGCACTATTTAGTTACGCAAGAACACATGTCAACTAAGAATGATTGAAAAGAGACTAGAGTACTGACCACATGGTCTAATTCTTCCAAAGTTCTGCAATTTAATAATGTTTTTAAAAGGCAACTGGATAATTTCCCTTCTTTCTTCAACTTCTGTATCGTTGTATGTGTCTTCTTTGCAACAGTACTAAAATGTAAGAGAGAAATATTAAGTCACATTCCACAGTGGATAAAAAAAGGCTTTTGATTGTGACCTTGTTTATTACACAGCTGAAAGTCTCTGAAACCCCTGAAGATTACATCTCAGGCTAAGCCTCAACAAACCAAGTCTAAAAATCCAAAAGTTGCTAACCATTATTCTCTTACTCCCATTAGTTCAAAACTGTATCAAAGTATCTTGCGGCAACTTTAAGAACAATCATCAAACAATACTGATAGTCATTACTGCTACATACATTTCTGCACAATTACTGACCTGGAAGCCAAATAAAAAGGCCCCAAGATAAATCCATGTTGATGAGCACTTACAGCTCATACCAATTCATTCATACCAATATAATTCAGCAGCATCAAGTACAGGGTACTAGACTTAAACATCTAGGTCTCCAATAAGAGACACATGAGCAAATGCAAGCGGCAAAGGTATTTTGTTATGATTTAAATTACTTATTCAGACAAGAACTCTCCCCGGCCACTTTCCCTCTTTGGAAAGAATCTTTTAGTAGGGGATATTAGGGAGTATAAGGAGGAAGACACCATGTTGACAGAACAGCTGGCAAGTCTGTTCCCTTGCCATCTCAAGAACAAATGCCCATCCAAAAGCAAGGAATGAAAGTAGTCTCATCCATCACTGCAGCAAACTTTGCTGTCCACTTTTTTGCTGCAATGGTCTGGGTGAATTTAACCCGGCCTTCTGGTATACTCCAACCTTAAGTAGTGCTCTTCACTGGAGGCTTCCCTGCTACAAGCAGGGAGCCAAGAGATTCTTAGATATTCTTTTTCTAAAAGTGAAATTTACATCTAATCAGGGTACCTATCTCCAGCAACTATAAGCTACTCTTTCGGTACAAGTTTTTTCTTTGCAATTTGAATAAACTGCAAAAAATGTAAGATGCTGGTGTTTCTTTGGCAATTAGCAATGCTAGATTTCTTGTCATTTAAAAAAAAAAAACAACCCACAAACCAAAAAAAATCCCCCAACCAACAAAAAACCCCAACAAAACCCCAAACAGGTATCAAGCATAATTACCTCTGTTATAAGCTTTTTTCTTTATGAGTTCCTTTATAGCTGTAGTGTGTACAAAGTGCCAAAACAAAAGACACAGAAGCAGCAGCCGGTTGTTACTTACCTCCCACCCAGATACCTCCCTGTGTTAACTTACTTACCGTAGCTCTTCCAGTGTTTGCTGCACTTCTCGCAAGGTATCGGCCTCCAGATTATTGATGAGCTCTTTTCGATACCGAGCGATAAAAGGAATTGTGTTTTCTTCTTGAAAGAGCTGAATTAAGTTGGCACATACCCATGGATCAACATTTGTTATTTCTGACAAGGCCTGTCAAAGGAGAAACAAAATCAAAACACACTTAAGAGAGGTGGTAGATTGCTTTAAGCAGCCCCTCACTCAACATTCAAAACCACTCCCAGAATATTACACTAGCCAGCAGGAACAACTGTCCTCCTCAAGCTAGAATGCCAGGATCCTCATGCAACCAGCCACCATATACAGTATTTCAGAAAGACATGCACCCACCAGTGTTTCCAGAAACTTGTAACCACAGTAAAAACACATGGCAAGAAGTGCCTCTTAGGCACAGAAAAAAAAAAAAAATCAGCAAAAACCAAATCAAAATAGAAAGACAAACTGTACATAGCAACTCATAAAACTTCGAACTTTTTGGGTTTTCGTTTTTAAACCACCACTGACATACCTCATGGTTAAACTAAATAAGCAAACAAAACCCACAAAGCCAGAGCTGACCAAACCCCACTCAACCAATAACTGGAAACTAGCATGATGCTACTAACAATTTCAAGATGAACTAAACCTAGCAAAGTTAAACACAATCTTGAACAAATTAAGCTTTCTAATGATACAGTTACACTGTACTGGTATGAAATCAATCACAAACTATACAAGTAGCTTATCTTATGGTTAGTTTGCACTTCGCCACAGTTACTCCCATAGACAGCTGACAAAGTTTTATTCTCAAGCCAAAAAATGTAACAACCCCTGCACAAAGATATTCACTGCTTTTAGAGCACCAATACCCGAAGATCAAATTCTCCATCTGCATTTCCAGGAATATTTTAGACCACTTATGAACAAAACTTTACACCTTTCTTAAGCAGAGAGTACTAAGGATGATAATTATAATGTGTCCTATCTATTCCCATTCTGTTCATATTAAAATGTTCCATAACTACACCCAGCCTCCCAGGACAAGAGCTATCCTAAAACTGTCTGCACCTGAACAGCTTCAAAGTCAACATCCCACAGAAACAAGGATGATATCTCCCTTGATGTCACTGTTGTGTGAGGAATGCAGTCTCCTCTTTGAAGGGACCATAAATTGATACTCTCAAATGAGTCTCTACAATGAAACTATCCACACTAACTAAATCTTTAACTGTGAAACTGTGCACACAGACATTCCAAACGTTTCAACATCTCTTCCTGAAGGTGTTTCAGTTGAGTACATCCACAAAAAAACCCATGTGCCAATAAATGAGAAGCATGCAAACTGTTACAGGTAGGCTTTGTACTAAGGGCTACCAAAGTCACAGATATTAGAATAATGTCAAAGTTTGAAGTTTTGACAGTTACCAACCAACATCTACATTGTTTTATTGTAACATCTATTATGACAATTTATGTAGAGGTTAAATGATTACTTAAGTTCAGAGGACTGAGTGCATGTTAAGATTCTAAGTGCTAATTATGTAGGAAATTGTTTCACTGATACCTCAAAGGAAAAGATCCCATACCTCTACAATATCCCAGTTCATTTCATATTCTTCTTTTATTTTCTTGCCTCCTAGATTTTTAACTGGCTTTCCTTCAGGATAAGCAGCTGACTTAATCATTTTAGTAGGTGGTTCATCAAATGCAAAATTCTCCTCAGGTTTCTCTTGTTTCACTTGATTTCCTACTATAGCAACACTTGTTGAGGGTCCTTCATCACTCCATAAACGCCTTTCATTCTTCCCTTGGAATGAATTCATTTCCATTTTTTTAGGCACTTCTGGCTTCGGATTTAAAGTTCTTGGTTTAGTGCCTACACCTTCTTCCTTAGGTTTTAGACCCTGCACTCTTTTATCTTCTATGGATGAAATAGGCAAGGATGTATCCTGTCAAAAAGACATTGAAACCATGTTAAGCATTGACTAATACAAAGCGGTCCAACATTTCATTTAAAAACTAAGAAGACTTGCTACCAGACATCATTTCCCAAGTGATGTCTGGCAGCAAAACACCAAGCCAGAGTAATCTCAAACACAACTAGCATGGAGGAAACGATACAAACACACCCAGCAGAACTGTGACTTAGAAGATCAAGTAAAAGTATCCTGGAAAGAATTTAACTGTAATCTCCTTCAGAAGATGCTGACTTACAGTCTTTGCCTCCATTCATCTCAAGCAAACAAGGAACAGCAGGGCAGGGAAGCACTCATCTAATGAGGTGTTAGGTTCCCAGCATGGGAACCGGAACTGAGATTTGGCCTGCCAAGATACAGTTTAACCTTGGACAAGCCACATCACCTTTCCTGAATTTCTCCAGAGACCATCTTCAGAAGCCAGAAGGACTGGTGCAACACAGAAACCAGAGATATTACAGAATCAACAGATGCATTGATTTATTCATGTTGAGAGAAATCTCCAAGGAAAACCACATGCTATTATCATTGTCCAAAATTTTCAAGGAGAGCCCTTAGATCTTGGGACACTTTATTGCATAAGAAAGCCACGTCTATTCAACACACTGAATATTCACAGGAACAGTAGAACTGTATGATCTAAAAAGACTCCGGTAACTCACTGAACCAGAGTTGGAAAAATTCTGGTTATGTGACTTGCCAGCAGCAGTAATTAAACGTCTTTCTTACAGATACTCACCATTTCTTTTTTTATTGCTACCTTCCTGACCATTTTCCTGGCCACAGCTGACCGTGGAGCAGCAGCCTTTTTAGCTTTTTCCTCATTTTTCTTTGGCAAATGAGGTCTCTTGGTGATTTTGCTTTCTGGCTCCCATTCCTCCTCCTCCTCCTCCTCCGATTGAGAGCTGAAAAACAAACAAATCAATAATATTGCCTATGAGAATAAAAAAAAAATAAAACAAGCTGATCTGAGTGTTTTCTGGCATGAAAGAAAGTGAACAGAAAGGTAGGCAGACTCAACAAATACAAGTCTTTCATGCTGCTGCACGGATAATGGCTCAAACAATTTACCAAGCTTTTATGAAGCTAGTTCCTGGGGTGTGTACACAACTGATTCTGTTTGGACAACTGGCAGGTCAGTTTCACTCTATCTTCACTATGAGCATAAGGAAGCATAAGTAATTCGTGTTTTATAATTGAAGTTTTGTGCAAGAGAACTTTTTAACCAATCTCTCAGAAACTGAGTGTTTTTCTTACACAATTGCTCATGCTTAGCACAAACCTTTAAAAAAATTCTAAAGGAAACAAATGATCTTACGAATCAAGAAATGAAGGTAGTTCTTCTGATGTAAGGGCTTTGGCTTCAGATTTCGCCCTCCTTGGTAGAGATGACATCTGAAACAGAGGCGAGAAAAGAGAACTAGAACATTTGGTTGAAGCTGTATTGTCTTATTCAGCCCTTTAACTCACTGCCTAGCGTGCCCTCATAATGTCTTCATCAATCACAAAACTTTCCTCTAGAGCAAGTTTGGATTTCTCAGTATCCAAGAATTTAGGCCACAGCAGCACACATTCAACAATCTTTTCAACTGAGTAAACAAACAAACCAGCACTGTAACCTCTCAAACTACTTTTCTCTTCACATGGAGGTAATTATTTGACTCGTATGTAAAGCTATCCTAGTGAAAAGAGTGCTGGTTCTTATACATATTGTTGGATGTCACATATACCATGCCAGTATTTCATCTACCCATCTAAAAAGCACAGAAAATCAAACTGAAATCTAGCGAAGTGAGCTCACACACGGTTTTGATGGGACAGGACAAAATTATTCATTTCTATCTAGAATTTCACTTTTAAACATATCCATTGCTTGTATGCAGAATAACTATTATTTTGAATGAGCTGTTCCTTAACATATAGAAAGTGCATAAAACAATTACCAAAGGTAAAAGGGAAGGCACAGACTTTCTCCTGACCCAATATTCCTACCTAAAACAGTTGCATTTCAGATACAGAATTTTTGGCAGTAGTTGGGTATCAATTTCAATCATCACATGTAGCACTTTTAGTTAAAAAATTCAAGGTACCCTCAAAATTTTACCTGTCAGAAAATAAAAATTGAAAAAACTTTATAAGCAAAAAAATCCGTAAGTTATAGAAATAACTGTGAAAATCATAAGCAGATTTTAGCTATATCTGGTACAATTCCATCATTTTTCACATTCTATTCTCCAGCGTTTTGTACCTTAGCCTTTGATCTCGCTTTACCACTGCGATACAAGCCTTAAAGTCCCATGTTTGCACAGAACAAACTGGATAAGTATTTTGCAAAGTGCCATTGAATTGAAGGGCAAAACGCACGTAATCCAAGTTCATTCTGGCCTCTGTTAAAGCACTAGAAGCACAACTATTGTTATAAATGGCTTTCAGCAAATCTTCCTTGTAAAGCAGTACAGTAATTGAAGTGACAATTTTCAGCACCACAGTGGAAGGAGGACTAGAGGCCCACATCAAACAGCATTATTAGCTTGCTTGCACAACACCTTCTTGTAGCAATCATCTTGGTCAGCATTTCTGTGGGTGTTCCACTGACCCAAACCCCATTATGTGCCTGGTTAAAATACACATCTATCACAGAAAAACATGGATCTCCACAAAACACAACAAATATTAATCACCTTATTAGCTTTCCAGGTGACTTTTTCACTGTCAGTCCTGACACACCTGCAATCTCACCCAGCCACTCCACTTCTCTATTTTCCTTTGCTGTTTATACCTGAACTGCCATTATCATAGTTCTGAATTAATAATTTCTTTATCCCCATTACCTCAGAGGTATGAAAATAAAGTGTCCATTTCACCTTGTACTTTAATCTGTGAATGGGAGAAACAAAATGCTTTAAACAGCAAGATTCCCAGCATTAGGTAACATCCAAGACAGATGGATCTCCCCATCTGTCTTGGGCACTGGGACACTTTTCACATGGTTAGGTTCCACAGTTCCCTCTGTTTTTGTACTAGGTGTTTAGCTTACAATTTCATTATCACTCCTGCTACTGCATGGGTATTGTTTAGGATTCCAGGCAATTTTGGAAGCCAGTGATCAGTTTTTAAGCACTCTAACCAGCTTCTTCATAGTTACCCACCGAATCACAGCAAGTATGCAGGAAAAAGCCAATATGCATGGACTCTCACCTGAGGTCAGCACCCTCCCCACTATGTAACACCACCCTAAACTTCCCTGCCAGTTTTGAACACTCAGTATATATTACCATGATAGTTCTGGGACTTAGGCAAAAGCCCAGGTGACAGGAAAGCCTCATCTGGAAGGTCTTTTTTTCTGCTAATATTTCCATCTCACCTCAAGTAGCCAAGGGCAGGGTCTCAAAATATCTCAACATTTCTGTTGTACATTAAGATTACAGCAAGAGTAAAGCTTACTTCATAAAGTTAATTTTACTTCCTGCCATCCAATACTGGTGACTGATTTAACTCTTCATACCAGCGTAAGATGATTGGAGATGAGCTCCTTAGTTTATGAAACCAGGCATTTTCCACATTCTTAATGAACAGATTAGTATTTGCTCCTACATCCTTAGGTCCAAGTCTACTTGTCTTCATACAATGCACTAAAGTAGAACTACTACATAACAAGCATAAAAATGGCATAAGAAAGCATGGAACAGGACAGAAGATGATATGTAATAAGGCTAAGTCTTTACAAGACTACAATGTTTGTATTTTTCTCCCATTTGATTTCTTGTATTTTACACTTAAAAAAAAATAAATCAATATATCATCTTTTAAGTGTTTGTTGCAGTCCTTTAGAAAGCTGGAGAAGTATCAAACATGTTTCATGCAGAAGATCAAAGAAGGTAAGATCAACAGATCATCCTCTGTCCTACTCATCAATATTGTGCCACTTCTTACAAGCATATAGTGAGTTGGGACTGGGCTCAGATACAGAAACTCCAAGTTGAATTATGCTATTAATCTATTACGTTTTTCTGAGAAGACTGGTAACTTTGCTCCTAGAGGTTTTTGTACCTGCAATTAAAGTTAATTTGAACTCAGGGAAGATGTCAATTTAAAGCACAAAACTCATTTCAGAGTGATGCTCCATGAACAGTCAAACCATAGTCAGAAGCCAAAATGGAGCTCTACAGCTCAAAATAAAAGCCCAATACCAAAAGAGCATCTGTGAGATGACTGTCAAACAAGGAATATCACAAAGGGGGGAAAAAAAAAGGCATGCTATTTCACTGTGAGCTAGGGCCAAGTTATAACCACCTCTCCCTCTCATAATGAATACAACAAACTAACTGTACTTCATATTTGTAGAAAATAATCTTACAGTTACTACATATATTCTTTTGTTTACAAAAAATAATTTTTTAATTAGAACCCAAAAAAGTACTTCTGGTTTGATTGCAAATTGCCAGACAGCTGTCTGCTAAATTTCTCCCCTGAGTTGCCTGCACCGGGGTGGGCAAACACCTACAGTTAATGACTAAGAAAACCAACCCTTCTGTGATTCACTGTGGAAGGAGAAGCAGGGAAGAGGATGAAAAAACAAGTCTAAATGCCACTGACAATGACAGATAACTATTACAGAATCTTTTTAGAAAGCTTGAAGACAGCCCTTGAAGTAAGGCAGGAAGACTCAAGAAGCAGGCAAACACAGTTAAGCTCCACATGGTGCATCTACAATGCTGACTGCAGTGACTACATGGCAAGGCAATCAAACAAGCTCTTGCCAGCTCCATGCTCTGCTTCTGCAGGCATACAGTCCCCCATGCCTCCTGCCTCAAGTGCTGAGGGAGCGCAGAAGAGCTTTACTCACCTTCCCACAGTGTGCTGGGATCAAGCCACGGTGAAGTTGTCCACTTATCTCCTACTGTATTTTCCAGATAGACTAGCCTCAGTGGGAAAACTGCCTTTACCTCTCATTTTTCTGTGACACTCAGTTAACCACACTCAAAGTGAGAGTCGGTTTCTACTTTGAGGAAAGAAACTATAGCTTGCAGAGACCTATGTCCCCTTCCAAATCCATAACAGTCCCAGAGCTGTAGAAGAGCCAATTACAAAGCTGAAAAATTAAAAATAAACTATTTATGCTGCACTCAGAGCAAACGTTTTTCTCTTTCCGTGTCAGTGTTCAGTATTGCTATACCTTATCAAAGGTGTTTACAGTGCTTGGCATTTCCTGTATTTATCACCTGAAGGAAGTAAACATGCAGTATCCAGTGATGTGCACAAGTCATCCAGCCACCCTGGGCAGAATTTCTCCAGCTTGCCAATTGCCATATTGAACTCCTGCAAACTCTGTTCTAGCAGCTCTCCTTAAATCTGAGGCTAGAAAGCTTCCAAGTAATACTAGCTAGCATATTTTTTCTTATTTTATGTACATCATCAGAAACTTCTTAATTTTTAAACAATGCCATTCTTTGAGAAATGAAGGGAATCAAAACTCGCCTCTTGACCCTATCCCAAATGACAGCATAAAACATCATTGCTTGAAAAACACTCAGCAATCACTAAAACCATGCTTCTCAAAAAAACCTCAACAGGTACAGCATGTTCTTCAAAAGTACTTCCATGGTAATAATAAACAGACTTCACAGAGCTATTATGCTGTCCAGTGAAGAAGGGCTGAAACTAATGAAATCATTGCTTTACTGTAGATAAATATATCTGCTAGGTCCACTCTTCAACTAGTTTGACATGAGTTTTGGTCCCAGTTATTTTGTTCCCACCCCTTCTATTCTCTGTATCCCATGTGGAGCTCCACATCACTATCCCAATGGCTGTAAATAGCACACTTTTCCCTACCTGTCAACTACTCATTAAAAGAAGGCTAGTGTAGTTTGGTGTTGGGTGACATCAGGAACAAAGAAGAGTGACAGAGTAGCTCTTACTACACTTCACTGTACAGAATCTTAACATGGATATGGACGAAATATACAGTAAAGCAGTAACAATTTCCCTGTTCTCTCTTGCCAAATAGGTCCAGGCTGGACATAGAATACAAGTAGATTGAGGCTTAAAAGACCTTATTATGTTAAGGAGCAAACCAAATCTCATTTACAAACTGCAGTTCTATTCAATCTCCCTATTCATGCAAAGACACAACTCACTAAAAGTAAATTTTTCATAGTGAATCCAGGTGGCATAAGCACTGCTTGCAGAAAGAGAGGTTTAATAAGAGTTTAAAAGCAATTAAAAATCCTCATTCACTGCCACCATTCTCCCAAATCCCCCAAAAAGACCTGCATTAGCACACACCTGTTTGGAAACTCTACCATTAGAGCAATAATTTTCAGAGTCAGAAATAACTCACTCAAGTAGATTGTTATACCTGAAGGCACAAGATTATAAACAAAACCAAACAA